TAGACCTGTATCAGAATGATCTCATGTATGGTAAAGGTTGCTGTTTTGCTCCTCACTTTAGTTTCAATTTAACTTAACCTAACTAAGCTGAAGGAAAGCTCAGTCCCCTTATGATAGAGGCTGAAAAACAGCAGGTGTTTCACTGTCCTTGATAGCACTCAAACTTGCTGAGGCAAGAAATAGCTAATGCCATATCCCAGACTAATCCTGCATTCTCAGGAAAACCCTCTCCTTGGTGATGTCCAGGGGCTGATATTTTTCTTTAAAAAAATAAAAAATAAAAATACTTAATACTTTCAGCAAGTTATTTTTTTATCTTAAAAACGCATTACTTCCTTCAGAAAGCAGCTCTTAAAATCAAAAGAAAAATCAGCTTCTAAAATCAAATCAGAGGCACAACCTGCTTGTGAATCTGTCAGCTTGCAATATCTATGAACTGAAATTCCTTGCAGCCCTAGAGTCATCATATCATTCTAGCCTGATTCCCTCTGCAAGCAAGGCTTCAGTGGTTCCACTGTGTACAAGTGTGTATACACACGGTTGAATCCCGTGGCTCACCTCAACTGTGAAGAAGGGTAGAAACCTCAAAGATAAATTTCTGTAAATTTCACATAAATAGACAGCGGAGAGAAACTCTCTGCATGCTCTGAGGGACCACTTGTATCATGAAAGCTCACTTTATCAAACACCAAGAAATCCACACTGCAGGATCACTACAGCAAAGCTCTCAATCAGAGCTCATTAATAACTAGGAGAGGCAAAACTATTAGTAAAAGGTCCAGGTCTCTCAGAATAACTTGTTAAAAGTTATATTAGCTTCATAAATAAAAAAATAGCCTGAGCATCCTTTGCTTCTATTCCCTTTACAGCTTGGAGTATTGCCAGAAAAAAAAGATGAAGAGCAAAGAGACATCATAAGGAATTCAAGCAGGTGCCACATTTGTGGTTTTGTGATTTGAGACAATATGGTGCTCCCAAATCTAGGTAAAAATTTTTTTAGCACTATATACTTCCTTTCTTTCCTCCCAAATGTGATATAACAGTATATGGTCAGAGTACATAAAGTACATGCAAACTTTGGAATAGGGAAGAGCATAGAGCTACTACTGGAAACTGCTGGCCAAATTACTTTGGTCAGAAAGATGCACCCCAGGCAGATGTATGACTCATATCTACTGCCATCTGGTAGATAGGTATAAGCCATCTTTACCTCAATAAGGTAGAAACAATCCTCTTTTCTAGTCAATGCTGGACCCCAACAGCTCAGACCAAGTAGGTTGGGACAGTTGATGCTAATAAGACCATTTCCTTCTCAGTCTCATAAATGATAATTTAATCTAACTTCCACCCTCTCCTACTAAAATAAATCCTCCAGGTTAGGACTCAGCCAACTTTCCCTCCCTTCTGTGCTTACTTGAATGCAACTAAATGTTATAAACTGTAGCAGAGCACCCCTAATCAGAATAAATCCTCCTCTATCCCAGAGCCTGGTGAAACTCCCCTGGATGTGGGAGTGATGTGAAGTGAGATTTACAAATTCTGCGAAGCCTAAAGACCAACTCTTTGTGTATTTCCGAGATGTCAGCACCCAGACAGCAGCAGGAACTCACTCAGCCCCCATGAGGAACAAAACCAGAGGATCAGCTGCTTTCCAGCTCTCAGCAGAACTGGGGACTTCCAGGTGCTCTCTGCAGCTGTGAAGCCCCAGCAGTGCTTGTGAAGGGCTCCTGCCAAACATGTGCCACCTGCCAGAACCACAGACCACACAGTGCTGGAGGCCATGGAGGGGAGCTGGCAGGCACAGTGATAGCTTTTGGACCCAAGAATTCAGGTTCAGATTCAAATACAGACACGTTGCACTCACAGTCTGTGTGGGAGTGTCCAAATTGTGTGTGTGTGTGCAAGCTACAAAGGGCTGTATTTCTTGACCTTCCTTAATCCTCAGCACCATGTTATTATTTTGGGAAAAAGGTAATAGAAGAAGGCTCCTCTTGTACTCACATATCCAGCAAAAGAGCTGACAGCAGCTGCAAACAGGTAGTGACACAAAGCTGTCAAATACATGGAAAAGGGTGAAGTTAATGTTTTTATTCCAGAATTTTCAGTTGTTTTACAGACCACCTTCCACTCACTTGTGGACTCCAGTTCTAAGCATAGCCTCCAGGCTGAAATACTGGAAGACACAACTGCTGAGCTGGGACTATCCTGAAATTATGGCCTTTTCTATCATCACAGGTACAGTATCCAGCTTTCATAACATCAAATGGCTTCAGAAAGGCAATGCACATTCTGTTGTTGCAAATTCTGTCAAGATTAGCTCCCCCGGAAGAACAATTTCATAGCCATTGCCACACTATGAAGAAGATCCCTCCTGTCTAATTCCCTAATAAAACAATAGAGACACTATAAATAAAAGGTATCCAAGCTTTTCGACTTGTGACAATTTAAATGCTGGAATATGAATCTTTCTTCTTTTCTCTAAGACTGGTGAATTATGGTATCAAAACATTCCTCTCATTCCCTTTCCACCCTCTACCACCTAAAAAAATAAAAATAAAATGTTTATATCTGTATTTTGTAAAGCACCTGAGCTGTGCTGGCATGTGTCTGACGATGCAAGCAAGAAAGCACAGCATGGTGCTTACTTCCTAGCAATGTACAACCTAATTAGATGGAGACCTAAAAGTTCTGAAGTATAAGGAAAGATTCTTGTCAAGTCCCGTACCAGGGGAATTTCTTTCTTTCATTTCACAAAGTAACATCTTTTCTGCACTCCATGAGAGTGGTGAATTAGGGTCTCCATAAAGTATGGGAAGAACAGCTGAAAAGGTTTGGAACGCTCAGCTCTGAGTGCAAAGTTGTTTGAGGACAGCAGGAACCACGGAGTGGTTAAGGGTTTTGGGACCTTCACCTTTAGTAGTCTGGAATTTGGGGGAAAAAAAGCGATGTGGATGTCCCAGAAAAGCACGGGTGTATTTTTACCCTTTTTATATTGAAAGCCCCATATAGATATTTGAAGAACTTCCATGGACAGTTTTGCTACAGACATTTCCCGCAATTGTCAGAAGGTGAAAGGAAAAGATAGACAAATAAAATATTTAGCACAGTGGTAAACAAATGTCTTTGTTTTGTTTTACAAAGTCATAATTTTATTGCTAGAATTAGCATAATTTTAATTAGTCACTGACAGAAGTCAAAAGCTGGCTCCCAGCTGTGCCGGGGTGCTCTCAGGGATACGTTATACCTGGTAACCGTGGGGGAGTTGCATGTGTGCGTGCTTAGAAATGAACTGCAAGCATCTTGCAGCTTGCTTTCTCAACTCTGACATCCCCACAACGATATCCAAAAGAGAGGCTGAGTTACCCTGAGCAGGACGTGTCAGTGAGATGGATGAAGGCTATCTGGGCTTGGATGAAAAAAATCCATGACTGATGGCAGGAGGAGAGCTTAATATGAACTCTTATACCGATTACTGATACCAATTCCAACACTGCTTTTTACCATTATCTTCCTTATTAGAAAAGTTCTTATTTTCTTCATCTTCTAGTTCTTTGGGTTCACTGTTCCAGTGCTGAGGTTTTTTCTTCCATGCAGGCATAAACTGTTACCGGCTGACTGCAGTCACAGCTTTAAAGCTCACTTCTGCTACTGCAGGAAGAGCTAACAGCTCTGAATACCTGATGTTCATGGGGGTTTAGGTCTAAACTGGTTTTCTAACCCTTTAGGCACAAACATTTGTTCCTCTGAGAATGTCCTTCTAGTTGAATGATTTTAATATCCTCCTCCTAGAGTTTGGAGTAGATTTTTTTTTTTTTCCTTCCTTTTTTTTTTTTTTTTTATCGTATAGGCACTTTTGTGTGTGTGTCAAATACTACTGCTGTAGAGAGTGTGACATATAGTCTAGTGCAACTTATCAAATACAGGCTGTCTGGCAGTCAATTTCCAGCACATAGTGTTTGTCTCATGAGCTGTGACTAAGGCCCATATAGTTTTGATTTCTAGATCTCACAACTGACCCCGTACAGCTGCTGTTTACAGAGCTGTCATATTCAGGCAGAGGGTGTTAATGCAAACCTTCTTACCCTGTAAAGATTATCTTGCAAGAGATTAATCAGGGGAAATAAAATAAGGAACAGACTTGAAAAAATGCCTAGATATTGCAGAACTCTGTGTCAAAAAAAAAAGAAATAAGCCCATATACAATACACCTACATACGCAGACATACATAGACAGGTGGGTATATTTATATACTTAGGTATATATAGAAGCATACTTCTATCATTATTGGAAAAAAGACCGTAATATTCAAGGATTGCAGTCAGTAAATAGCTTCATATTCAAGTTGCAATCTGTCAATTAAGAAACTTGTTCCAATACATTTTGCAGTCAAAAATGCATAAATTTCACTTGCAAACAAATCTCTCTTTTTTTTTTAAGAAAATCTTTAAAAGCTACTTCCTTTACTGAACCTTTTTTTATGCAAACCCATGTATAATAGAAGGGTACAGTAAGTATCCTAAACTAACAATTATAGATGACGACATTCTCTTTCATTATCCGGGATAATAAGCAATTTTCATTCCTTGGAAACAAGCAGATTCTACAGCAAGCCTTCAACAAATAAAAAGATGCATAATAGATGCTAGGATCATATAATGTTTCTCTTAATTTCAGGCTTTCTTCTGGATGACAAAGTTATACTGTAGACTGCAGATTATTTGGAACAGAAAATAAGATATCTTGAAAGTAAGATCTTTAATTGGATTTTAGAAAGACTATTATGCTTTCAAAAATGATGCTGCCTTGCATACACTGCCAGAAGAGGTGTTGAAATTCACAGTTCTGGGGGTGTGCATTTGTTCCTTTTTAGCTGACTATAAAAGCATTTCTGACTCGGAGAGAGTCCTCACCTGGGCAGTCACAGGCATTCTTCCAGCGTGGCCCATGAAATTAAACAGTTTCTTTAGCAGGCAGATTTGCCAGGACAAAGCAAGATTTAAAAAAAAAAAAAAGAAAAGAAAAGAAAGGAAAAGAAAAAGATCCACAAGAAAATTGCTGACAAACAGTAGCAGAAATTAAATAGAAAATCATTCACTGGAAAGTGATAGATGAAAATAGCTACCGCCAATTATTTTTTTAACACTCCTACCCCTTGTACAAACTGGCCTTAAATGGTAGCTTAGCTAGAGCCAAACTGACAATCTAAGAACAGCAAGATTACAATTCATATTCTGTTACTGCTTTTAGAAGAACACAGTAACTATTTTTAAGGGGGTACACGTTATACAGACTCTCTCTGGTCTGTCTCACAGCTCTGGCTCATTGCTACTTTCAGTCCATTTCTGCTGCAAGCCCAAATTCTGCAAAGGCTTTACAAATAATTTCAAATAGATGAACAGTGGACCTCTGGAGGACATTTTCAGTTTCTTTAAAGGAAAGAGAAGGCTGAAAGCCTAGGAATGGATTTACCAGGGGACTAAAGGAGTTGTGTCAATACTTCTCTCCCACCTCACAGCAACCCCAAATAAACACTTCAGTGCCATCTGATACCGCATCCAGGATTCCAGCTGTGCCACCCCCCATCTCTGTGCATAACGGTGCTGCGTTGCCCTTCTGTGCTCCTCTGGTTTGAGACATTTGTTATTTTCTTCCCTGTGGTCAAATTGCAAGATGTGCTTCCTCCCTCCAGCTTTGTAGCCACAAGTTGGCACGCAAAAGGACTGAGGCATCAGGTGAACTTCACAACACATTGTCGCCTCACAAAGAGGGGGGAGACACACATAATCAAGCTCCTTCTCTGCATTTCAGAAGAACATCTGTTTAAACGATGTTTGCTTCTTACGTGAATGTCCCAGCAGTAACTGAAGAAACTCTGTCCCGTTGTTTTGGGTCACACATGCCCGCGTTACACAGAGACAGCTTGGGGGCTGGTTTGCATTAAGCCTGTTTTGTGAGTTCTAATATATGTTGCAGCCTTAAAGAAAAGAAGAGGTAAAAAGAAAATAGAGGCCGTTCAAGAACCAAAGGACAGAAAGCACATTGAGTTTGGAAACGGGTGTTGGATCAGATGCGGGAAGGGAAAGAACAGGATCTGCAGAGGGGAAGACTCTAGTCGAAAAACCAGCAAAGAATATAAAAGCTCCCAGACCACACTGCTGCTAGTCCTGACAAAGATAAAATTAGTGTGTGCTCATTTCATGTGCATCTTATGGTCACACCCTTAAAAATCAGTCTCTCTACACATATACCTCTTCTGGAACATGTGCTAACTTTCACAACAACCGTTCCTTTTTTTTTTTCAAAATAAATACAAGTCTAAAATGTATCAGAATCTATGGAGAGCTATAGAGACTTCAGTACATAACGTGTGCCATCAAAACACAATGATTCTTTAGTTTTGACATTTCACTAGGTGGTTACCTATTCTTTTCTCAAGAAAAGTTGTTCCTTCCTAGTTCTCGAACGGTGAAGGGCACTAATAATTAAGCATTGAAACAAAAAAATGACAAGAAAGAAAATATATACACCTATTTTATCCAAACTCAAATGTTCCTTGTCACTTAGCTGGAAAAGAAATTGCAGCACTCACAAAATATTTTCCTTACTGGCGCAATGAGGAACCTTCTTTTCAAAGGCAGATGTCTGGGATAAGTATTCATTCTGGTGAGTCTCATGTAAAACGCCCTGATTCTTTAGAGAGGCATTAAACAATTAGCTAGACGGAGTTTCTTTTGAATTTGAAAAATTTGAAGATAATTTAGGGTTTGTGGCATAGCAGCCGAAAAGTAAGACTAAGTTGCTTGTAAGCGACAGAATGAGGCTCGAAACAGGAAATCCGTGTGTTTGAAGCCATGGTATTTATTAGTCGCTTACACAGCATTCTGCTAGTAAACACCACGTCCTTAGCACATGCAAAGTAATGGTGGATTTTATAACCTAGAGCTCTGACTGACTCTGTAGGAAGTGGCTCATTTTCTCTTCAAAACATTCCAAATCTTTCAGCTGCTGCAGCGGTTAAGGTCTATTCTTTCTGCACCAGACAGGGTGTTGTCTTCACATCTACACTAACATCTAAAGGGAGTAGGGATCAAACTGCACGACTGAAAGCAGTACTAATCATTTATGCATACTGTTTGGAAACAATTCTCAGGTTTGAAAAGTGCCTTTCAAATAAATATAGACCAAGGAAATGTAATCATCAAAAACGACTTAGACATCACCCTCTTCAAAAAGAACAAATTATAATCACGACATGTAATAGCTCTTGAGCAACGTTCACATCCCTGTCAGGGCTTTTGAAAGATTGACAAAACGGGATGTGGATATTAAATGGGTTTTTTTCTAAAAAAAAATACACATACACGATAACAGTTTCCTGGCAAGCCAAACTTCACAGTTTTTGTCACTTTTTACAGCCTGTCTTGATTTATAGAAAGTGTTATCTCCAGTACGTAAAGCTACAGTGCAAGGGGAACTGCTGTCTCTGGCCATGCAAAAATGACCCAATTCTTCTCATGTGGAGATTAAAAGTGATGACTCTGGAGAAGTTAATGTCATCTATCACATCTGGGCTCTGGAAGATCCACAAAACTCCCGGGTTATGAACCCCAGAAGCAAAATCCTCTTATTGGGACTAATATTTCCCTTTGGTATCTGTTAAAAGAAGAATGAGGCCATTTCTGGAGGCTCTTTCCTTCATCCCTTGCTCTGAAACTGAAGCTCTGGTTCCACACTTGGAGCCCTCCAATGAGCAACCTGGGGAAACAGGGAACTTAGGGAAATCCTCTCCTCCCTCTCTGCACATCATCCACACAAGGCTGGCCCACTGATCAGGTATGGAAAAGCTACAGTTCCTTCTTCTGTCATAAAACTGTGTCCCAAAAATCATACGAGCAGCCTCAGAACTGGCTGGTTTTCCTTCCACAGCTTCAGACAACATGGGAGTCAGGCCACTGATCGCCATGGCCTTCCTTCTCTCACAGGCAACTTCTTGCTTCTTTTTTTATTTTGCTTGTTGGGTTATTCCCAGTACCAGGGACAGGCCTGAGAGGCCAGTACCTCACCGCAGGACTTGGGGTTCACCGCTCCTACTGCCAACCCTCTGGCTTCTGCTCCTCTGTGCTGGCTTCCCAGGAGAAGGGGAAGAGATGGAGAAAAACGGGGGTATCTTGTACATCTTGAATGCACTGATCTTTGCTAAAAACTGTTTTTTTCTTGAATAATGTGGATAAAATTTCACTGGAGTGTTTCTCTCCTCCATGGTGCCCACTGCCTTGGACCCAGAGACATCTCCCTCCCATCTGAAACTGAAATCTGCATTCACCATACTGGAGGTCACAGTAATAACAATAGATATATTTTGTCGAGTCTGTTTTCAAAGCCCAGGGAACGAATGAAACCCCCATCTGTTGCTTTATATCCTGCTGTTTTAATCCTTTGAATCACTAGCAGTGAGAAAGGAAGCGCTGGACACGCGAGAGAGCTATCCTGTCTCCTTTCTGCCATACTGCCACGGCTGCAAGAAGAAAAGCCACTCAAGCTGAAAAAGAAGGTGACGCTTGCAGGGCAGTCTCTGTGAGGAGCTCTCAGCTCTGGAAAGGACTCACTGGTCTGAAATAGCCCGGGTCTGTTGATCTCCAGGGCATGCTACGAGAAGCATCCTTCTGCTCATGCTGGTGATGACCGTGACGTCTGCAGAAAAAGAAGAATTTGTGCGAGCTCTGTAACGAGTGAGGGAAGAGTGTGGTCGCCTGCTGTAAGTGTTGACAGCAAATTACCAGGTTTTTTCACTTTTTTTTTTTTTTAATATTTTGTATTGAAGGAACACTTGCGTACATCCCAACCAGATGACATATCCATATTTATATAGGCGCAAACGAGTGGTGATTATTGTACCTTGGTTTCCCCCTGCCATTCTCCTGTGATGTAAGTTACTTTTCAGTTGTTATTTGCTGGTGTTGTGTAAGAGGCTCCTATTTCCCTCGCGTGGGTCTATCAGCAGCCTAACCAACTCCTGCAGCCGTAAAGCGTTCAGCTCAGCTCTAGCCTTTAGGCAGAAGCAGCTTTTCTCTCTTTAGCAGGGCTGGGAACAGGTGTCCTTTCTTTGTGTTCACTTTGCTTTAGTGCGGAGTCTCTGCTACAGGGAGGGAGATGAAGGCAGGGGATGGAAGGATGGTTTAGAAGTGAAGTTGTTAAAAGAGAGGCTAGTGTCTCCTCTCGGTCCCAGGTGGGTTTCCTTTTGTTTAGTCTACCAGAAGAGCAGTGTATTTCCTGCTTTACATGCACAAACAAAAATATAAGAAAACAAGACCAAAGATGTTGAGAGCTGTGGGCTCAGAGGAAAAAAATAAACCAGGAACAAAACAGCTCCCCCCTCCCGTCCCCAGCTTCCTTGGATGGCACAAAGCACCATAAACAAAGTTCTACAGCTAATATGTTGCTGATACACAGGGTTATATAATATGGCCCATAAAATTAGTCATGTGTTATTGCACAAAGTGGTGTGTTCCATAAGAGCTGCCTATTTAGCAAGCTTGATCAAGAACATTAAATATGAAAATAAGGAAAAAACATTTAACATTGTTGAAAAGTAATTAAAAATATATTTCACCATATGCTTCTCTGCCATTACTTCGTTTCAGCAAAACAAATGCCTGGAGCATTTATTATCCCCCATCATTTTTTAAAGAGGCCTAATGTTCCCACTTGGCACAGGAGACACGCAGATAAAATGAATCAGCCCTGAAATGAATTGTGTGAAATGCATTTGTCTGAATTCAAACAGCTTCCCTGTAGTCAATAAATGCACGAGTACTTCCGATGTATCAAAATGCATATCTCTGAAAAATAAGTAATTTTTGCTGGTTATACACCGTGTGTAAGCTTTGACAAAGGCTAAAATGCCATTAGCTTTATTAGGGTTCTGCTGCAGTTAGTTAGTGTTACAAAGTTCATGTTACTTTGTACCCCCAAACAGCCTTGGTATTAAAAAAGCAAAACAAAAGAAAAAATTATAAATAAAATACAACACATACATCAAAAAGCTTTCAAAGCACAGCTAAACTCATGAGACTAAGTTCATCCATGGTGCAATTATGCTCATTCCTGCACTGTGATGCAAGGAATAAATTTGACCATGGAGCTTTAAAGGACGGATTATAAGCAATTTTATTTTAATTCACAGTGGACAAAAGAAGGCCTCTTCTTTCATAAATGATGATCCAAAGAGCAGTAGTTTGCAGGGCTGCATTCTGAGATTTATTAAAAAAAAAGTGATGTATCACTAGTCAGTTAACGGGGGAAGGGGGAATATTATTCTTTGCAAGAACAATGGATTAATAAAAAGGCAACCTCATAGAAAAATAAAATGTCCTTGCTTGTGTCAAATGTTAGGAACACCCATAACTAATGAAAATAATATATAAACACAGCTGGATAAAGATATTCATGCTGTGTAGTTGATGTGATAGTTTACACGTTACTGGCATTGAAACATATGCTGTTTCTCTTTGTCTTTACACTGACTCCTTTTGAACATGTGAAACTTGACCCACCAGCCTGTACAACAAAGCTCTGCCATGCAAGACAACTCACTGGCACTGACCTGGCACATAGCTGTGAGATGAGTGACCTGAGACAGAAATCAAATGCAGCAGATTCTTCCTGGGTGAACGGAGGCGAGGAATGTGTTGGAAGTGATGTGAGAAAGCCCTAGGATGCCCTGTAATGGTTAGAAAAAGTCCCTCCCTTTCTGGGAGCAATGGGGAGAGAAGGAAGAGACTGAGGAGGAATGGATATATTAGATTAGTTCAAAAGATCTGGCTTTTTTTGTCTTTATGTAGAAGGCGGAACAGAGGAAACCACGGTGGGAATCAGGGCAGTGGGAGTCGGGGGATTTGGGACTCGGGGTAGACTCAGCAGGAGCAAGTTTTCCCACAGTACAGCAAAGCCCATAGCATGCTTTTCCTAACAAACATGTCTCTCCTTCTTCCCCCTTCTATTCTACCCCAGACTGTAATTTCAGTTCAAACACCACATTCTGTTCCTGTCTGAAAAAAAAAAAAAAGTATGAAAGTGCAACAGTGGCTCCAAATGGCATCTACAAATGGAAAAGTTGGATTGAAATTTTTCAACCGTAAACCACAATGGGGCTTGGTAGCCTGGAAACCCTGGAAACTCCCAAGTGAATCACTATCATTCGCTGCTGACCACCATTAAAGAAGATGTCTGACACTGGCAGACCAGGAAAAATGTCAAAATATTTTCAGACCCACAGTAAAACCATGATAGCTAGAAGAACTCTGCGATTTTCAGCTGATGCAATTTTGCTACAGTTCCAGACAACAGAAGCTGGCTGTTCAGTTCAAGCTCTGCAGATGTGTTCTTCCAGCTCTGGATGTCCATTTTTGAGCAATGCTTTATCAGGCGAGAGGACAACACTGATGCAGAGACTGAAGGTGGTGAAGCTGGGGAATGTAACAGACTCGCGTCTTTGGGACCAAGGTCGTATGCTGATCAATGAATCCCATCAACAAAATAATGTATTTTGAACATAAGGGTCATTTGCCTTTTACATAAGAAAATAATCAGAGTTTGAATGAGCTTCTTTAGCACTTTCAGTTCATGATTTGATCTACTCTTAAAAGTTTTGCTAACATTACTGAGCTGAACAGAGGTATGAAAAGAAATCACACTTTAAACCAGAATATGCAGGCGTATTCCTCAAGGAACAGATTTTACTCTGTACCAAAAGAGGAACTGTTTTTCCAATGTAAACCACATTTCTACTTCAGAAATTTGGTGGTATGAATGGGTACGGCTATACTGGCAGACCTTTGTAGGAGCAGACCAGCCCTGTAAAACAAATGAAGTATGAAGTACCGAATCTAAGAAGTTTACCTGAGGTTTGTAAACTGATGTGAAATCTCCAGGTGAAAGATTCTCTAGGAGTATAAACTGTTACAAGATTAATTACTGCTAAAACTGAATATTTTACTAATTCAGTTAGCTGAAAAATATTCTGTGATTTTATTACGTCTTAAATTGTCTATAATCTTCTAAATATTCAGCACGGTGGATTTGCGGTGTCAAGCTAAAAAGCAGAGGGAGGAGAAGCGTCAATAATCCTTGGCACAGCCACTCCCCAGACGAGCTGTATATGCCCATCAAAGGCATCTCCTACATACCAGGCTGGGATATACATTCCAGAGACCTCTCAGCTTCCAGGCCGCTGCTGTGAAGCAACATCATAACATCGTTATATCTACTTCACTGTTACCATGCATATTATAGATATTAATGCGAGATATGTTTTTAATTAACTTGTATTTTTAGCTACTCAGGATGACTGAAGCTCATTTTTCTCCAGCAAGGATGTATGCTGCATAAGTATAAATTAGCTCTATTTTGAGCTCAGAAGCAGTGCATAAGACCATTGCTGTCCTGATTCAAAAAAGTGAATTTCTGCCAACAAGAAAAAGGAATAAATAAGTGTCATCTCCTGATGAACATAAAAGCAGAGGAGGAAACACATATGTGATTTGGAAACAGGATTACTCATAGATTCAGAAGTAATAAATCCAATTACCTTGCTTGATTCATCAATAAATGGGAAAGTAGTATTTGTTTTATTATCAAATTAAGTTATTCTTTGGAAGTAATCCACTTAAAATAATTGTTTCCTAGCATCAAGCAAAAGTAATCAGTAAAAAGGAACATGAAATGTCTTTCTACTGCTTTCTGCAAAGACTTTTTTACATTTTTTTGAGCACCAGATTATCCCATTATAAATGGTGACAGAGAAATCCAAGGAATCCAGATAAGTAAATGCTGCGTTTATAACATCTTTCACTCCGACTACCTGGCACCGTCGTTTAAAAGCGAAAGTTCTCACACCTTTAGATTTGGAATAAAACGGTCTTTTGGGAGCCCTGTAAGTCAGCTACTGCTGAATTTTCTGTCCTCAGTGAAGCAATATTGGTGAAGCCTTTGGCTGCCAGGACTGAAGTATCCTCAAGTGCATCTTCTGCTCGCAGGACGTTACTCTCTGTGTGCAGAGTACAAAAATATTGGCAAGGCTGGTTCACCAATATTGACACAGCAAATACAGGTTCACCGATCTCAGGAGTAATAGTTTAAGTAGAGGCAGAGGGAGATGAAGAAGCCTGCAACATGTAATCCTTTGTGGCTAAAATGTGTTCCTACGATTTTGTGACCTACCTGAGTGGAACTTGCAAATGTAACATACAGAGTAAAGTAGGGAGAAAAATACTTAAAATCTTAACCTTTTGTTTTCTAAATCTCCTTTCTTCAAGGCAGCCTCATCCTCTACAATCTTTGAAACAGCAAGATACATAGAATGCTGTCTCATATTCAGATCTTGGTATGCAAACGAATAAAACATCCCTCTGGTTTTTGAAAAGGAGATCATCAATCACACCAATGAAGACAAGGCTTTTATTTGCCATCAAAGATCTGATTCATCTCATGCAGAGTGAGATCCAATCGTTGGATTAGAGAGATTATCTGGCAGTGACCAGAAATTTTTGTGTTCACTCTGTTCTAGTAAGACTGAGAAGGTTTTCATCTGCCTGCTTGGGGAGCCTCTGCTGTGTTTCTTTGGGAAGAGGTGAACGGACTCCCATTGCAATGCCAGACATACCTGCATAGAGTTTAAGACAAAACTGTGACCCATTGGTGATAGATTATATTTTAAATGACAAGTTTTCTAACTTGGGAGGAACATTAGTCTGGAGCAGTCTTCTGGTAGTGTAAGCATCAAGGAAATCATCAATTTTAAGCTGGAATTTAGACATTTCATAAAACATATTGTATGGTGTCATTGTCCATGAAAAGCACCATGTTGTGAGGACCTGGTTTCACGACCCGGAGACTCTTTTTTTCACCTGTATCCTATGCTTCTAAATTGCTAGGAGCTGCAACGTTGTACCAGACCACAGTTCTCTAATGAAAACAGCCGTTAACCCTTTGGACATGTAGGCTGTTCAGCTTTATACTATTACATATATGCAAGCTAGAATCTTGCTTAATAACAGATGAGCTACAGAGCTCTTTGGAGTTCAATTATTTCAACACGGCAATCTATTTCTGGGTGTCACTAATACTAATGTGGAGGTTGTATGTTCTTATCTAGGTCCGTATTTTTAGCTGGCAGAGACCCATCTGAAGGCAAAGTTGCCTGTCTACAGTTGGAACCAAAATGTCAAACCATACAATATCTAAAAATATTAATGTAATTGCACACAGAAAGGTGACAAATATGTAAGTAAATACAAATGGATAAGTCAGCTTCAACTTGTAGAATATGCTATTCCATTTTTTTTTGCAATAGGCATAGATCATGTTAATTTTTAAATATTTAAAAATAGCCAAGTATTTTTTTATACTCCAGTGAAATATTTTGGTTTAACTTTGAACACGTTATGAAACAGTGCATTTCTAATGTTTACCAAAAAACCCAATTTAACATATTATTATAATATTTTACAATTTAAAAACATTTACATAATATTTAAAATAACCATTATATCTAAAAATGCTGAATTAAAAATTCTCAGAAGATACTCAAGTGTTTGCATGATGATTGGAATTGCCATTATAAACATTATATAAAAATTATAACTGCACATTCTAGTTCTGAGATAGTTTAATCCAGCAGTTTCATTTAATGATACTCATTCTCAAACGAAATTGCTGTACTTGAAATTTTAGGGAACCTGAATTCAGTGGAGAACAGTTTAGATAATAATAACCGATGATGTATCTAAACAAAAAACTTAGGATAGTGAAAGAGAGAGAAAACCAAGAGTGATTAAAATAAATGAACATAGAACAAAACTCATAGATATAAATTAAATCAAATACCTTTAGGCTCCTGTGAAGTCTGAAGCATAGCACTACGGGCTAATTTCAGGGAGAAAAATCAGAGGAGGAATTCTGCAGTGATTCTAAATAAAGTATACTGTGAGCACAAGGATTAACCGCAGTGCACTACATGAAAAATTAATCTATTTTTGTCATCTAGATTCTATGACTCCATATTTTTCAATTCGACTACAAAAACATTTGGCATGGTTTTTCTCCTCCTCGCCACACTTATATATGATTTTTCACTGAGAATTCATTTGAACAACAGATAAAAACCACCTCAGGAGTATGTACACAACAAGACTGCATGACCAGGGTGGGCATTTTCCCTTATAAAATTCTAAATTCTGAAATCCACCATTATTCCCTGGTGTGAAGTCCATGGCTCTTACTCTTAAGTTAAACTGTTGACAGAATTCAATACTGAGGAGATTAGCAATAAGAGACTGAAACGGGAGAGTGAGGACCTGGCTCCCTTAATGTTTGAGGGCTCAGGCTGGCTGCATCTCTACCAGGGAAGTCAGAAGAGCTCTGTAGTTCCTAGATCTTGTTGTGTGCCTCACCTCCATAGGAGGTCCAAACTGGGGAAGATCCAGACTGCACTGCACCTTTCCTATTCCTTGACTGTCTCAAAAAATGGAAATATGTTTGTGACTGAGGTGGGAACGATTGAATGCTTTGGTTGCTGCAAAGAGAGGGAAACCAAGGGACCAGCACCCAAAGGCAGAGTGTCTGTGACAGGACAGTCTTTGAACCAAATAATTAGAAGTGGCCTGGGCAGAAAATCTAGCCTTTTCACACCTTATTTTTAAAAGCTGGAATCCCCCACAGAGGTTAATAGCACCTTTCTTAATATTCCCATTCTTTGAATTTCTGTTAAGTCACTCTTATTCCACATACAAACCAAATCCAAACAGGGGATGTGATAGTAGGAGACGGTTAGGCTTCTTCAGCTGTAGCTTCTGATTTCACAGAACTGGGCAGAACAGAGCAGCAATTAAATAAAATATCAGATTTATGTTTGAAAAGAGAGAAATTATCAAAGCAGACCCAAAATACACAAACATTTTTGTTAAACAGCACTTACAAAGCCCTGGGTGATACACAGAGTAACGATTTTTCTTTCCAAAGGTTAAGTTCTGGGTACGTTCATGGGTTCAGACTTCATTCATTATTCCCGAAGCCCTTTGCGAGACAAGCGAAAAAGCTGCCATCACTCTGTCTGAATGTGGCCCCCCACAAGGGTGGAACTCACGCCCAGAAGACATCAGAAACACTTAGAACCTCAGTTCCTTCAGAAACCAACGTGAAAGCAGTCTTTTACACTCAGTCTTTCCTCAGAAACTCACGCAGAGCAATTTTATTTTTTCCACCAGCACGGAGAAAGCAGATAGTCACAGAGATCCGTTTCTCTCTATGACTAACAGCTGTAGGTCTACAGATGTTGGGCTTCATTTGGTAGAGCACAGTCATTGTATCCTCTATGTTAAAAGGTGGTGAGCTCGCTTTTGATGTCCTGTTGTTAAGTGGCATAGCTCCATTTACACTTCTTGAAGGTCTGGACCGGTGTCTCTGTCTTGGTTTGTCCTTTTTCCAGCTGAGCTCAGTGAACTTACGTTCATACAGAGAGCAGAGACTTTGAAGTTATCAGAGGCAGGTGTCAATGTTATCATCAATAGCACTTCTGACACATGACTTCAACTGGGATTCTAACTGCGCTTTTGCCAATACACAATCCTTTAACTTCCTCTAACTTAGCATAATTGCATTACAGGAATTTCAAAGAGTTCTTTGAACCAAGGTACAATTAACATCATCTCAAAGGACATTCCCACCCAGCGGTTTACCCCAGGTAAACTTCCTTTCTGAAGAAAGAGTCTGTTTAAATGTAAATCAGCTTTTTCACTTTTGGAAATTGTTTCCAGTCTCTTCTCACATACACTTTCACACTAAAACCTGTCTTCAAGGCTTGGCATGTTATAAGGTACATTTTCAACTAGAAAGCAGATAAACAATGAAGTTAATTTTAACGATGTAGTTATCAGAAAATGAGTCTTTACCTCTAGATTACTAGACCATGAATTCAAGTAAGAAAAGCTACTGATAGTGGATGTCCTAAGTAAAAGATATCAGTAGTCTTCCATCTTTAATCTAATTTTTAAAGTGTCCCGAGAAATCCTTGCTGCAAACTTTGGCTGATTCAAAACAGAACGGCAGCTGTAGGAGACAGATGATGAATGAAACAAAGATCCTGTCTTCTGTCCACTGCTGGGTAAAGAGGAGGCTTCAGCCTTCAAAGCTGTCATTTTAGCCACTTTATATAGCACTAAAATACACATTTAGAAAAATCCAAATGTCTTAATCTCTACACAGTGTCATTTAGGATATCACCTGACATTAGCTAATCATGCACATCCTCTTCACTTCCCTAAGCCAGGCACTGCTGCTGAATGGGAGAAGATAAGGACCCTGTTTTTAAAAGCTTTTAAATGACAATGTTTAATTTCATCACTATTTTTAGGAAAGAAAAACCTTTATAAGCCTTTTAAATAACACTCCATGGCCCTGTGGTAACATCTTGGCTGGCAATTATGGGTGAAGGTATTGTGCTATAAGAAGCTTTGAAATGTCATAAGAAATTCTTCCCCTTCCTTTTCATCTAATCATGTTACAATTGCCAGTTTACGCTGCGCTTAAGCTATACAATTTCCAGAGGGGCAGCCCATTCCTGTGCTGTGAATATTTACGAGTTATACATCACATATTATTTATTAGAATTTGGATAGAAAATTAAGAGTTTTAACGGTGAAGCTATATCTCATTTTTCTAAACACACGTAAAAGGGCTTGAACTATTGCCTTCATTTTTCTGTTGGATTATCAAGGAGTTAACTTCATGATTTCTGTGGAAAACAAAACTTTCAAAAAAAAAAAGGAAAGAGAGAAGGAGAGGAGAGGTTTGGTCATATTTAAACAAAAGAAATCATTATTAATTGCTATGCAGATGTGATGAAAGGATATTTTCCACAGCTTAGAGGTTCAGTTCAGGTTGTGTGTGTTCTGAGCCAAATGTTCAGCCTTTAGATGTCTTTGCATTGCAGACCTCATAAACTTAAACTCTTTTCTGAAATGTCTGATGCTATGACTAAAATATAGCCTCCTTCACACAGAATTTTTGGTTAGGAAAACACTATTCATAGGTAACACATAACCCCTTTTGGCTCCCTCAAAATATAACTTAACTTTCAAGCCAGGGTCACTCATTTATTCCTGGGACCACAAGGGAAGATGGATACCATTAGATGACCCATTTTAGAGTTCAGAACCTGGAAAAAGAAATCTCAATTACGTTTGAGATGATGGTTTTAATGGTCTACACTACGTATTTTGATATTTCTTGTTTGAGTCCAAAGGAGGAACAAAATGCTTACAAAGTTCACCCTACATCCGGCGAATACATGGTAGAGCAGATCTAAATCTGTGTTCCCGAGCTAATTCGTTCAAAACAGAGTCAAAGTAGGATTTAATCAAGTAGGGTTAATAAATTCACCAAGACCTTATGATCATGATGGTCATGCTTTTAGAACAGATCACAAATCTCAAAGACAGCTGCTCTGAAAAACAGAAAAACAAATAAAGCAGAACAAGCTTAAACTCCCAGAAACTTGCTCCTTGCTGTGCTAGTCCAGATTGTGTCTGGGGTGAGGAGATAAAAAGCACTGGATTCACACTGCTCCAAAATTGAAGCAGAGCAGGGGTGAATCAAGCCATTAAATTTGTAATCAGATCTGTTGATTGTCCACAGTACTTTAAGCTCTTCTCTGTTTTAAAATAACTGGGGTTTTAGTTGAGAAGAGAGTATATATCACAAACAGGCTAGCAGCCCTGAAGAAGCCCTTTTTAAAAAGCAGAATTTTCAGACTGATCACCTCAATAATTCCTTATAAATTCCTATTCAAATTAATAAATTACAAATTCCATAGGATCTATGAAAGAGGAACGGTCCTGGGAGCAGACTTCAACCAGTGAGCATTTCTTTTCCACTGAGATCAAGGTATTCCAACCTGTTGCATTGTTTTTTTAGATTTTGGGTTGTTTTTTTTTTTTTTTTTTTATTTGTGCTGCCAGATTACACATGTTGGTGCTTCCTTCCTCTCCAGAAAAAAAATGATGAAAAATATCCTAAGCTTTGCTCAGAATTTATTCAGCCAGTAGGTTCAGATTTTCCAATGAGAGAATGTTGTTCATGCAAAAACCGTGTATTCATTTACATTTGATAATGTTAATTTCCATACTCATTTCTTTGTTAGACAAACATTTAAAATATTGCTTATACATAGATTTATTTATATATGCATACATGCATGACTTCAGATATTACATTAAAAAGCTATTATTCTCTTTGTGTACATAACATACTTTGGCATAATTGCCCAAATAGCATCAATAACAAATAAGTTAGCAGGTCCATGTTGGGAATAACCTTAAACAACTATGCTTTAATCATTTGGTGATCAACCTTCTATCAGAGACAGAGAGCATTATTTATTTCCCCCACAGCTATGTAGTCATTTGTCGTGTACATTATGAGTGTATGGAAAGGACATTCTTTAAACGAAGGCAGCAAGAAATAAAGTCATCTTCAATCACTGCCATGAATATTCTGTTTAATTGCTGATGGCTTTTATTTTGCCACATTGCAATGCCCAGTCTGTTGTTTTGCAGTCGGGCTTTGCAGGAGATCAAAAGCTACAGTGGTCTCTTCTCTTCCCATACTCAGGAGGTCCAGAAAGGAGAGCAGAACCTGCCAGTTCACACCGATCTCTGCTGTGCTGCAGGAGGAGACAGATCTCTCCCTGACAAGGAGGGAGACAAATACCCTTCCAACTCGCTCTCCCTTGATTGAAATGACACATCGCTACATCTTTCTTTCGTACATGATGACTCTTACAATCACAGCTCATTATCCTTGACCTGTCCTCAACACTGTACAGTCTGCCTAAAATAAAGGCTGAATAATCTTTTTGACTGCTCTGTTCCCACGGAAAACTTCTGTTTGTTTTGTCAGAAGCCGTATATT